GAATGAAATAGTTTAGAAAACAATTTAGTCTTTTAAAGAATATTTATATTGTATGTGTATGTATTTCAAATTTATTAAATATAAAATTATTAGATAGAATCAGATACTGAAAAGTTTTATCAAACAGGCTATCATTGTGGGTCTAGACCAGGGGTCGGCAACTCATTCGACCCCGCGGGCCGGATTGTGTTATAATGACAGGTTGTGGGCCGGACGAAGGCCATTAATGAAAAATTAAGGAAAATGACATATGCAGACTCCTGTCAACCTAAATATTTAAAACCATAATGAAAATAAACATTGATAAATCAGAAAAACAAAAGAAAATCTAAAATTAAAAAGCACCAAACAAAAATTACTTTTCCTCAAGGAACGTCAAAATACTTCAAAGTGAAAAAAATCAACCAAAGTGAAATGGATGAAATTATGATGTGTAGGTTTGAAACTGTTATTGAAAATTGTTCCACAAACGAACCACACACACATCAAACAAAAACGAAGCACATATACCCATACATACGAGTACAAATAGTTGCAAGCATATACACTTACGTACGTACACATGCGGTATCATCCATACATTCATGAGGCATGTATGTATAATGCGTGTATGTTTAACTGTCTTTAGATTTCTGCTACCTCGCATGTCAGTCCCTCCCTGGCCTCTTTCACTTTATTGTTCATTTTGCTTCTGTTATCTTTTAATGTAGCCAAGGGTCATAACAAATATGTATCCATTATTTGACATTAAATGTAGGTGACGCAACTTGGTAAAATAAGTCACATGAAAGATAACTGGCAGATAATCTAATATTTTCAGTGCACTGAGATGTGTAGACATTCTATGGAAAATGACATATAAAAAATTTCATTTGAAGGTCGTCTCTCATGTTAAAAATAGAGTCATTGGTAATTAGGCTTGCGGGCTGGTCAAAATGCCTTCGCAGGCTGGATCCGGTAGGTTGCCGACCCTTGGTCTAGACCTTTTTCATTAGTTTTATGTTAATTTTGACTTTGTTGAGGGCTTGCAATATCTGGTGAGCACCGAAGCCTCAAACATACAAAATCTATCACTTACAAGCAACAATTCAAAACAGACAAAACGTGATTTAACCAAATCCAAAATAACATTTATTCAAAACCAACCTGTATGTATTAACTATGTGATTCTGTTGTGTACGGTATTAGTGTTTGAGTGTATAGGTAAAAGTGGTTTTCGTGATTGTGCACATAGTGAAAAGTTCAGAATGTCTTTTCCTTAATTACATTTGCGAGATAGTAGAAAGAAAAGTGTCAGTGAAACAGTACTTAACTGGTGTTGCTAATATGGTGTGTTCCTAGTTCTTGACCTGGTTACCATGGCAATGTCATGAACCAGTGAGTTCATTCTTTGGCCATGGTCATTGAAGGAGTGGAAAAAGTATGAGTGACTGCTTTCTTTCTATCTGCAGACATGAAGTTTATTAGATGACAGATTTCTCTTGAACTGAACTGAAAATTTCAGCTGTTGAAGATGTAGAGTGTGGACATAGTTGTAAGCTAAAAATTCTACTTGAAGTAAATGTTTGCGGCAAGGAAAATGAGTGGAGGAAAAAATGTATTTTCCAACCAATCATTTTTTAAGTCTGCTGCAGCTTCCTCACTCAATTTCTGGTCAATGGTGCAGTAAAGAAATGAAAGAAATAATATTATTTCACTTTTAAGGTTTTTTTTTCCTTACTATCATAGAATCAAAACAAATGTTTCTCTTTTCCCTTTCTTTATATCATACTTATTGTCTGCACATCTCTATATGTATACACACATAAATGCAAAACAAAAATTTGATTATAATTATTTTTTAAATGTAGGGAATGCTAATGATGAAAAATTGCCTCAATATTCTTCTTTTTCTTTTTTTCATTTTTAAGTATAAAAATGAATAATTAATAGTTAAACCAGTTTCTTTTCAAGATCAAAACACATTTTCTCCTTAAAAGAAAAATATAAACTTGTATTTGTATAAAGTCATGTAAATCTTCTTTTGTTACAAAGTTGATAATATATTAAACAATAGCTGAAGTTAAATGGAATGCTGTCATAATTATATTGGTTGGTGTCATTTTTCAGCATGTCTGAATACATATATATCCATTACATTAAATAACCTTTCTTTGTGATTAAACCTATTGGTCATATATTCTTTACTTACTCTCTTTTTTTTCTTTCCTACCAAGTGCCTTTTTTTCATGTGTTAAAAAAAAAAAATCTAAAATCTATGCTTCAAGAGCTACAAATTCAATTTCTTTAGATTTTTGTGTCACGTGAAACTTGTAAATATTTAAAAATATTTCCATCTATTGTATATTTGTTTCTTGGCAAAATTTAACATATGCCCCCCTGCTCCCCAATGTGTCAGATGTATGGTTACTCACTTGATACTGCTATTACTGTATATGCTCTTGGTAATTTTTATTTTAAAAAGCTTTTTTAGAATTGTAATAAGACCCAAACATATGAAACTGAATTTATCTATTTTTTTCCTCTTGGCAGTAAAAATGCTCAACACTATTTGGCTTTTTCTTTACAAGATAATAAAAGACACAAGAACAATAATAATATTTTTGTAAGAGTGTAGAATTTAACTTTTGAACTATAACAATAAATTATTTATTTCAAGATTATACAAATATGTGATTAAATTATGAAATATCTATTATTTAACATTTGCTTATTTACAAGATTAGGGTTTGATTTTGTGGAAGAAATGCACTCAACCTATTTTAATGAATTTATGACAACAGCAAATGAAAATTCATAATTACAGCTACTTCTCATTATGTGTCTGTTTAATTTTCTTATACTATAGTTCACACACATGTTTATAAATTTATGAATAAAAAATTTAATTTGTAGTTATTTCATTATAAATAATAAATATTTCATTACAGTTTGCTCATATATTTTGTAATCTTGTAATAAAATTATTCTTATTGTGAACTATATCATAATTATTATGATTGTGTAAGTAAATAATTTACTGTTATTATTAAATTCTAAGCACTTGTAAAAAGTATTGTTATTGATTTTGCATATTTTATAATCATGTAAATAAACAATCAACTAAAGAGTGTTTAACATTTTTGTTGTTAATTCTTGAGGAAAAAAAAATCTATAAGTCCAGTTTCATATTTTGGGGTTTTATTAAAATTCTAAAAATAGCTTTTTTTTTTATAACCAGTAATATTATGATGATCTTTAAAATTACCCCAGTCTGGTTTAACTGATATTTTAACAAGTAGATTTTGATCCTGTGTATATTTCAAATAATCTAAGACATTTTGTCCCAAATCAATGAGCAGCAGGAGGCTTTGCTTGGTGTTGTGCTTTGTTTTAATATAACACAGGTTTGATCAAGTAGTTAAATTCAACTCTTTCTCTGTAAAACTTGTCACAAACCAATTCAAACTAGTACTCAAATCTATTTTACAGGAACTGGATCTGGATTTGCAATTTTGCATATGAAATTTGTTTATCTACTTTTCTATAGATCTGAATTGGTTCAAAATATAAACAATGATCATTCCCCACCTAACACGCACAGACACACATACACAGAGGTCAGCAAGTGAAAGTAAATTAGGAAAGTCTAATCATAATTTCATTCTATATATTTCAAACTATTGGCAAGAAATGGCCATATCTGGAAGACCTTGGCTTCCAGATTTTTCTCCGGTACATTAATGGGAGAACAATAGTCTATTTCATACTCTAAGCTATAATTCCCAGCTCTATAAACTTCAAGTTATTTAGACATATGACTCTTATTCAGATGTTGATTGGAACAGTATTTTTTAACAGAATTATTTTTAGTAGACTTGGATTTGGCATCATAATTAACTACTCTATCTATCTACTTAATCTACTGTATTTTCTTTTTCATTACACCTGGGTCCTTTTCTAATTATTTCATTATCAACTAACACAGGTAATTAGTAGATTAACTGCCATCATTCACAGTACTGAATTTATTGAACTTCACACACCTTACTTTTTAAATTTCTTTTCTTTCTGAAAAATATCTACAAAGTATGTAGGGTTATCTTTGTCATATATCATAACTGTAGCTTTCTCATCTCTGGAGTCAACCTTCTTTTACTTTGTATGCAGGTGTGACAAATTGTACTAAAAATATGCATGCTACTAATATTTGGCTTTGTTCCAGACAACATTTCAAATTCCATTTTTCCACTTCTCAGATTGTAACACTGGTTTCAAATATACAGCTGTCATGATAGAATGTCTGCAGAATTTTCAATAATTTTTGCTTCCTGAGTAATAAACATCAAATTTCAAAAAGAGATTGCCAGTCTCTTTCTACAGTTTCCTTCTGGTGTTGTGATTTTCCAGACTTCATATGCTTATTAATGAGGAGTCTCAACATTTTTTTTATATGGAAACATTTTATATACCAGTTAAACTTGAAAGTATTTAAAATTACTTTGTAGAAATCTGTGCATTTTTAGGACAGGCTATGGAACTGCAAAATTACTGGATTTCCTTGTATGACTAAGTTATCTAATTTCAAAAATCCTGAAAGTTTGGTATTATAGTTCTCATTATTCAACAAGTTACTCATATTATAGATTAATTTGAAAATCTTGATTTTTCTTTTTTATAATGAGTATAGCTTTTATTCTGTTTAATAATTCTATTTGCACTTAGATTGATTCATGTAACAGTATTACTTATAAATTAGAATTGGTTAGATTTCAATCTCTGAATACCTTTACAAACTGTTTTTTTGCTGACCCCACAATAATCTATGTAACTGATTAATTTCTATAAAACTTTTTATAAATGTATATTATGAGAAGACTGGATAACTTTATTCAGTTATATTCCAGGGATTTTAGCAGTTAGTTATATATTAATGCTTTTAATGTTCTAAGAGTCTAAATGATGTATTAAAATAATTGGAACAAGTTAATGTATTACTGTTACTTTTTTTTTTCTTTTAGCCAAAGAAGAAGAAATTATGATTGATGGTTTTAGTTGTTCCTATCCACAACGTCCAGCTCATAATGTGTTGCCTCTTAATAAAAATAAAGATCTTCTTGGTGAGATATTTTGAGAACATATTTAATTGTATAGTATCATTTTGTATGTTTCATTGAACAAGACTGACAAGGTATTTTTGTTTAGTTTTTGTTTTGTGTTTTCCTTGTATGTGTACAAGTGTTTTCTTTTCTGGACTTAATGTAAAAATTGTCCAAAAGTTTGTTGATTCCAATTGCTTTCAGTTAAATTATTAGCCATTTTCAAGGATTATTTTTGTTACACACCATTTATTATAGTAGTATAAGCTCTATTGTAGATGGTGTAGAGGTCGCTGAAAGTGGGCATATTCTTAATTTACGAATATGCTATTCTAATTAAACATGTCAACAAAAAACTACAAATCCTCATAGACAATCAGTTCAAATTTACAAAATTAAATTAAAACACCACCAATGAACTGTTACATCAAATAATGAAGTAGGATCCATTAAAATGAACAAAATTACTAGATCTTAATAGAGATAAACAGTAGTATAGCAAAAATCCTTGAAAATAGATAATAGTTTAGCTGAAAGTGCTTAGAATCAACAAACTTTTGGACAACTTTTGCATTCATTCACCCAGAAAAGAAAACATTTTATGCATGCAAGAAAAACATTAAAAAAACTGAACAAAAGTATCTTGTCAGTGTTGTTCAATAAAATGTGTTAAAGAGGAATTACTGTGCTAATACACAACTATCTATTTATGTAATATTGAAGTATTGTTGTTAGTACTTAATATGAAAATCTTACCTACAAATCTAAAACCTACTATGCACATTAATATAAAGTGGAATAAATTTGACCGATGATATAGTGCAAAATTAGCTGTTGAATTAAATATGAGAATTGCTTAAAATATCTACTGCATTTTTTTTTAAATATATGATTGCTGAATCATTTTTATGATATCATTAAATCTTTTTCCTCTTCTATAATAAAGATATTTATAAATCAATAAGTTGTTTAATGTTTAAAATCTTAATGAGAGTGAATCTGTTTAGAAAGGCATCTATTGATATTAAAGATTAGTATTCACTGATATTCATTTAATATCAATATTAAAGATCAGTATTCACAATAATCTGATATGTGTTTTCCAACTGATTATGCAATCCTAATGTAATCTTTGTTGTTTTTAGCATACCATTTTGTCATAAATATATTCTTTGGCCTTCCCCAGGTGTATTTATAAGTTGATTAGTATTTTTGTCTATTCTTTTTCATTTCTTCAACTAGACAACTAAAGTCCAGCAGTCACTCTATTTAGTGTAGTTTTGAAAACATGTAATCAAGGTATATGCCTTCTTGTTGAGCCTTTTTGTGATGACTGTTCATGAATTTATAATGCTATAGCTAAGAGACATTTATACCTTTGCTGTACCAGAAGGAAGTACAAACACAATTAGTTTCTATGAATGCCAGATAAATAGTTCTCCATCTAACTAGTTTTTTTAACAATGCCAAATTTACTTTCTTTATGTCCTGGTAATATAAACAGATTGTGGAATTATTAAATTCATCTACAGAAAACCAACATACATGGATTTATACTTGACCCTAATCATCATCATTATTATGTAAAAATCCAAAGTATCTACAGTCAATATGATATCAAGATAGCCTTTCATAGTAAAACTACATTATGCTAATTTCTCACAAAGGCTGGTCCACCATAGGAAAAATATGACAAAAGGTTCTGTGTATATGACATCAGCTTATTTGGGTATGTCCAGAAGGAAAAGTTTCAGATTCTCTTCTCTGGGATAGACATCTGAGTAATACAAATGACACAAATCTGTATATACACATAAATTTGTCAGATAACGAAAACAAATACATTGGTAGATTTTGGTAGATTCTAATTCTATATAAAAGCCACGATTTTTAGCAGATGTTAATGTAAGGCCATTTGAAAAGTACTAAGAAATGCAATATACACCTGAAGAATGCTGAAGAAAATATTGTCTGAAACATATTTAAAAAAAATAAAGACATAGTGTGAATAACATTTAACAAAATTAACAAAAACCTATTTCATCTTAAAAATAAAATTTTACTTATAATTTCTCTTTCATATTTGCTTGTTTTATTTTTTTTAAGGAGATCTGTTGAAAAAGTTTTTTGATTTCTTCTTACACCTTGACTATGAAACAACAGTGATATCTCCTCGAACAGGAAATCTTTTGTCAAGGTCAGAAATTGAGAGCCAAGAAGAACTGAAATCATTTAGAGTAAGGGAATGTTTGCATCAGATTTTGAAAAATATTTAATATAGTGCTTATATTTTCTCATCTAAGGGTTTTATTGTATTGCTTTGATACATTGTCCTTTTTTTTCTTTTTTTTTTTTTACATAAAACAAACTTTAAAAATAGCCAAAAAAGTTCAATGAGTATATATTTTATTTTCTTGACTGTTCTCTTTTTGTTGCTTGTATTTTTAAATGTCATGGACTAGAAAAATTATATGAAACAAATATTTTAAATCTGAGTCTTGCATGAAAATATTAAGTTAGAATAAGGTATGTTAAAAACTTGAAATTTCTTGTAACTTTAATAATTTCATTACCATTTCAAGAGTTATTTGGGAAAACTTTTTTGTTGTTCTAGTTTTGTGTTTCTGATAATTCAACCTTTTTTAAATGTACACTCCATAAAGAAAGCAAGTTTTTTCCAGAATTGGTTCAGGTCTTTCCCAGAAATGTATGCAATTTTATTCTCATCAATTTATGTAAAAATGTCATATTTTTATACCACAAGTCCTTATTAGAACATGTGAACTCAATCAGGTCAGCTAACAAAAGGTGGCACCAAACATCCATATCTTAGTAATCCACACCAATTTGTTATAGTTGTGCATAGTATTTCTCATTACCAACCATTTGTTCTGTTTTAATAAATAGGTAGTTCATTATCTTCAACATCAAGCAAAGTGCATCAAAAATGAAGTTGGGAATCTAAAGGAAGATATATATTATTATATACATTTCAATTCAGATTAGCATAAAGATGAATATTTTGGAGCCTCTGATTAAAAAAGGATACTCATAAAAAATGTATTTCCACAAACATTGTTTAAGAATTAGGCCATTGTAATTAAACATAACCTAATGGATTTAAAGTGTTAGTTAAAGCACTTGGTTCCCTCGTATCTGTGAGTTCAATCGTATATACTCTGGTACAGTGGAAGAAACTGACAAGTGACATAAATATGAATAAGTATTAACTCATATCCCCTAAACATGGAAAGCAGAAAAACCAAATCCCCAAACATTCCCTAATGACACAAAAGACCACCTATATTTTCAGAAAGAGAGATCATTCAGGTGTCAGAAACTGGCAGAGACCATCTTGGAAACTGCTGATGAATTCTTTTACAGCCTCCTTGCATTTTTGTCCAGATTTTTTTTTGCTAAGATGTTATTACATTAGCTATAATTTAATGATGTCCTATCACATTCACCACATTATGCATACCAGTGAAAAGGAGAACGATTCAAGTTTTATATGTTATATATGTAATTTTTCAGAGGAATAATTTTCCATGTTAAAACCTTTTTTTTTTTTTTTTTTTTTTAAAGAATATTGAAAAATGTTAGTTTACTTAATTTCATATGAGATTCAACAAATAAATGTCTGAGAATAACTTATAACACCTATTAGAGATTTTTTTTTGTTAAGTATTTGACATATAGCTACTGCAATCATCCTATTCCAAATCATACTATGTCATTGTTCAGATTTCTCTCGCTATATTGTATGGCTGCAGCCTTTATATTTGCTATAATTTAATAGTGTTCATTATTTACATTATTCAGACTATTGTCCTCATCTTTGTCGCCATATTTATCACAACGTTTCGGCCGTTGTACACTCTGGCCTTCTTCAGGTGGTTGGAATGTCGAACTGAACCCTTTATTTTGCTCACTGGGGTAGACTGTTCTAGTTCCACATGCCATGTTTTGATGGATGTCAGTTATCTCCTGTTAATTTTCCCTCTGAAAGTTCTCCACTGCCTTAACTGGGTATTGAACTCACACTCTTTGGGTCCTGTCACTGGATCTAACCAATGTCTTTATCCACTGTGCCATGTGTCCTTGAGTGTGAGTTCAATACCCGGTTAAGGCAGTGGAGAACTTTCAGAGGGAAAATTAACAGGAGATAACTGATAACTGACATCCATCAAAACATGGCACATGGAACTAGAACAGTCCACCCCAGTGAGCGAAATAAAGAGTTCAGTTCGACATTCCAACCACCTGAAGAAGGCCAGAGTGTACAACAGCCGAAACGTTGTGATAAATATGGCGACAAAGATGAGGACAATAGTCCGAATAATGTAAATAATGTACATAATACCTCATCTCAGAAATATAGACAGACTTTAATAGTGTTTTATAACACTTACTCATTATGCATAGTGTTTACTTATTTAATGGTATATAAAATAGGCAGGAATGCTAAATATTGAATAAAATAGGATCTTCACATAGAAATAAATAATTGTTCAACATTTTTCATTAGTACATTTTCAACTCTTTATGCATTTCTAAAAGAATAATGATAGATTATTGTTTTACTTTGTCATATTACATTGTATTATAAACATCTTATAGACACATTTTACTAATCAGCATATGTTTTATATGCATTATTTAATTCTAGATAAAGTAATAAACAAATATTTCTTAAAGGTTAATGATATAATGTATATGTTGTGTGGGTTATGTATGCTGGGTTAGGAGGTAGTGAGATTGTTATGATGATCAAACTTAGTAGCTGTAGATATCCTACATACTCTGACTCAAAGTTGCCTGTGAGCTATAGTTATAGCTCTTTATGATAATTACCTATTAGCTAAACCAATCCCATTACATCTTCCTGAATCCTTTGGGTTTCACACCCTGCGTGGATCTAGGGATTCTCCTAGATTCCCTCCCCCCTCTCACTGGTTTCATGAGTATTTCTTGTTATGGGGGACCTTGATCTAGTTCTTTTATTCTCAGTTTCTCATGTTTCATACTCTGAGTCTTCTGAAGAATTTGATTGTCCATTGATTCCTCTGTTCTGCTTTCTTGTTCATCTACATAGTCATTTGAACTAGCTTTGCTTTGTATTTTTTTGTAATTTTGGTTGGCTCTTAACTGGTCTGCATGGACAACAATATTTTTACCATTCTTGCATATTAATGCCATGTTGTATCCTTTTTGCATTATGAAATTCACCTTTTCTGGCTTGTTTTATTTCTTTTCTACCATATGTTTTCATTAATGGAGTAAGACATGGTTAATGGAGCTCTAATCTATCTGCCCATTAATGCAGACGTGTTCTCTAATCTGTCAGCATGTGGTATTGTTCTGTAACTCTACAATAATCTTGGTAGGAAAGTTTCAATCTTTTCTTGCTGAGAAGAAAATGCTTTCAATCCCATCTTTATTGTTTAAACCATTCATTCAGCAATCCCATTTGATTGAGGGTGGTAAGGAGGTGTTTTATATGGGACAGCCAATCTTCCTTAACCATGATCATAGACTTTTGCCACAGAATTTGGAAGCATTATCAGTTACTAATGCTTTTGGTACTCCATTTTTAGCAAATATTATGCGTAATATTTGTTTTTCAGTAATAAATTTTTTATCCTGAACTTGGAAAACTTCAGGGCAGACAGAAAAACATCAACAAGTATTAGACATAAACCTACCCTGTTAACTTGTGCATGATTCATATGAACTCTAGACCATGGTTCTGTTTCCTTAGGCCAAGAGTGTAACTTATTGTGGTGAAAATTCTTTATTTCGGCACATTTAGGACATTTGCATACGTATTTATCTACGTCTTGTGTGTGTCCCAGCCACCACACTTCCAGATTTAACCATTTTTGTGTAGCAGTTATCCCACAATGCACATCATCATGTACACTTTTAATTACTTCTTTTTACATTTTTCTGGTGGTACGACTAAATCCCCACTATAAAATTAGATAGTTTGTGTCTGGTTTCTTTGTATGGTCTTTCTGCTTTTGGACAATTATTGCATTTATTGTTCCTTATTCTAGATAAAATTCGACTTAAGACTGGATATTGTGACATCTCCATAATTAGTCTATTCATGGTCAACACATCCATTTCCACCCAATGCAAAAATTCATCCTCAACTTCTTTTTGTTTTTTACATTTTGTTCCTTTTCAAATTGTAGTCAGGAAAGTTTGTCTACATGTGGTATTGTGTTTCCCTTCATGTATTCTATATCATAATCAAAAACCATTAACTTCATTGCCAATCTTACTATTCTGGATGATGTAACTTTCAGCAATTCCTTCCTAGGATGGAATATAAATTCTAAGGGCTTATGATTGGAAGTCAACAAAAATTTTTTTTATAAAAAAAAAATATTGAAAAGGAAGCACTTACTCCATACAATCACAAGTGCTTCCTTTTTAATATTATAGTACTTCAATCCAGCTGGTGTCCTTCCTAGGACAACATTGCCAATACAAACTGGCCACTCGCATCTGTGGTTAATGTAATGTCATTTTTAGGGTCAAAAATCTTCACCGTGGGTTTTTTTAGATAGAGTTTCTTTTAATTTCATGAATGCGGTTTGGTGTCCATTTAAACTCTTTATTCTTCTTTCACACCTCAGAAAATGCTTCAATTCTCTTGGAATATTTTGACAAGAATTTGCTATAAAAATTGGCTAATACAAGAACTGATTCCAATTCTTTTTTACTTGTTGGAGAAGATACATTTAATATTTTTGTATTAATATTGGGTCCAGCAAAGTACCATTTTCTGAAATTTGGTAACCCAAGAATGTTAATAATACACTTATTTTTGTTTATCGTCATTCCTGCTTTCCTCAACTTATCCATTACAAATTTAGTTTTTTGTTTCAGTTCATCTTCAGTGACCACACATAAACATAAATCATCCTGATAAATTATCATATTTTCTACTCTCCATGCTAACAAATTTTCAATAGCTTTTTGAAAAATTGAGCTGGCTGTCTTAATTCCAAATGGTAAGTAGTACCATCTAAGTAAGACTCTGGGGGAGTTTATTGTTGTGATTTCCTTAAATTCATCATCTATTTGAATTTGCTGGTACATATTTTTTAAATTAATTTTCATAAAATATTTCATTCCTGCCAAAGAATGTAGTATGTTTTCTATATTTGGAATAGGGTAGGAATCCGAACAAATCTTATGATTTGTGCCTACTTCACAAATTCTG